ATATCCTTCTTATTCAGACTGTCTAGGGTGGAAATTTCCTGGTATCGGAGAATTTAACGTGAGTTTGTGACTTTTTTTGTCGTAGAAATTTGTGCACATTTCCACGTAACATTGCGTTGAAAACAAATGGACTCAGATTCTCTCTCGCGCTGCACCATTGCGTCGATGGAGAGTATTCGAATCCAAAACAAATAGGTTTCAACTTGACGAAATCTATTTACTACTCATATCATAACATAAATCATATCAGTTTTCAAATTTTATGTACTTGCACTTGAAATCTTGCAGTGCTATGATAAATATCTTCAAGCTGATTTCAAAGAGGCTGCAACAAAGGCAGGCCATCCTGAATGGGAGCTGCCAGATAATGCAGGGTTATGTAATGACATACCTGAATCTACCGAGTTTTTCAGATCAAAGGGAACTTATCAAACAGAGAAAGGGAAATTTTTTCTTACTTGGTATTCCAACAAGTTGCTGACACATGGTGACGATATCTTGGATGAAGCCAACAAAATATTCCTAGGTTGCAAAGTGAAGTTAGCAGCAAAAGTAAACTCTCAAATATTTAGTTTTGTTATTTGAACAACATAAATTGGACAGTTTTTGCAACAACAATTTAAGTTGTTAACACATTTCAAAAAGATTGTTAATGGATATATCAAGTGTCGAAATTCACTGACCACAAAATTGAATGTGATTAACCAAAATTTTATGGTGTTCATATATGCAATTGAACACCCTAAAAGAACGGCTAACAACAACCAAATTTGTGGTTCACGAGTTTCGACACCTGATATATATGAACATGTATGTTAAACTAGCAATTCAATTTTTTCACATCGATAAGCTGAGAAAGTTTAATACAAAACAGATAGCTGGAATCCACTGGTGGTATAAAACTGAAAGCCATGCTACAGAGCTTACTTCGGGATATTACAACTTAGGCGATAGAGATGGATACCGTCCCATAGCAAGGATGTTTTCTAGGCATAATGCTATTTTGAATTTCACATGTCTTGAGATGAGAAATTCTGAGCAACCAGAAGAAGCCAAAAGTTGCGCCCAGGAACTTGTTCAGCAGGTAATCTATTCCAACTTAACATCTAATCTAACATGCTCTCTGCAAAATCAAACAGAAATTGAGATTGATAAATTCCATTACTTGTAAATTGTGTATTTACTTGTAGGTTCTGAGTGGAGGATGGAGAGAGAACCTTGAAGTAGCTGGGGAAAATGCACTTCCAAGGTATGACACTGAAGGTTACAACCAAATCCTTCTAAATGCTAGACCGAATGGTGTTAACAAAAAGGGCCCTCCAAAGCTAAGGATGTATGGAGTCACATACCTACGTTTGACAGAAGAATTGTTCCAGAAACAAAATTTTGATATATTCAAAATCTTTGTGAAAAAGATGCATGCTGATCAGGTATTGTAAATTAAAAGATGTAGATATTTTCATATTCTGTTGTGTTTGAAGTGAAGTAATCAAAGGTAAAATTTTGTAGGATTATTGTCCGGACCCAGAGAAATACTATCATTACACGCTTCCTATGGAAAGGTCAAAACCAAAGATACCATTGGAGATTCTTCTTGAAGCAACCAAATCAGTGAAGTCATATCCATGGTCTGAAGTAACAGATATGAGTGTTAGTGAAGCGAGTGGATTTTTTGCTGATTTAATAGCAATGATCTTGTCTATGTTTAGGAGAAACCGAAACTAAAATCATGTAAAAAAAAAAGGAAGGGGTTGATCCATAATAAAATCGGGAGAGAAAATTGCTTCGAAGTCATTATTTTCATGTTGCAATAGAGAAGGATACTTTATGCCCCGCCTTCAGGCCTCAAACCGTAATTCACACTGCGACAACCGGTGTTGTTCAGTGTCACAACACCGACGATGACACCAACGAAAAACGAAAACAATATGGAGATGCGGGGTATCGATCCCCGTACCTCTCGCATGCTAAGCGAGCGCTCTACCATCTGAGCTACATCCCCTTTTGTTTCTCAGTTGAATCTTACCGTAATTTCATCAATACATGCGAGACCAGAATTTGGTTGAAGCTGTTTTAGTTTGATAGTTATACAATTCTTACTCTTTCGTAGATGAAATATATAAAATAAAAAAAAATTGAAAATGTCTAATTTCAGATCAAAACAAAAATCACTCTAGCTGTCTACATTTATATGATTTAAGAATTATATTAAAATCGAGTATTATGTTAGAAACTTAATTTAAAATTATTCATTACAAATCATTATTCGGGTAGAAACAACAGTAAATCTTACTCAATTTTTGAAGACTAAATAAAAATATTAAAATTAAAATTACACATAATTTTCTTAAATAAAAAAATAAAATATCACTATATCTATTTTATGATTAGTAATTTTATCTTTTTTCATTAAAAAGATAGTTTAAAATAATTAATTAACTATACTATAAATGTATTGTTAAATCAATAGCGAATATCATTGAATGAAAATTATGCCCTCAAGAAAATAAATGGAGCTGAAGTGATGTCTCATTTTTGGGATTGAATACCCTCATTTCTGGGACAAAGCCCTCATAGAAATAGCTTGAAGTTCCCTTAGTCCTATCTTAGGACTTACCCTCCTTCGTATCAAACTACTAATTAGCCAATACGTAAGACTCAAATCACCACTTAAGAGGTCATACAACCTCAGTATATAACTCAATTAGAATACTTGGGCCATATCATTTCTGCCAATTCCTGTGCCGGTTCAGATTTGGGAGGATCTGTTAGAGATTTGGGTATGATAATCCTGGATAACTTCGAAGAATCGTGTTCACGAAATCTTTGTGGGGATAATTCTCGAAGAACAATCTGTTTATGGCAAAAGAAACTGATTACAAATGTAGAGAGAAAGTGTCATTTTCCGTTTTTGAAACCGAGGTCAAATGACTCCTTATATAGGAGATAATAATTGAAACCGAAAAGACACACCTGTTCGGAAAACGGTTATGTCGGTTGGGGAAAAGGATTCAAAATTTTCGAACGGGGCGCTGCCCCGCACCCCGCCCGCTGACCTGGCAGGGGCTCCGCCCCTTGGACCCCAATGGGGCGCTGCCCCGCACCCCGCCAGGGGCTTCGCCCCTTGGAACCCCAACGGGGGGCTGCCCCGTACCCCGCCAGGGGCTTCGCCCCTTGGAACCCCGTTTCAATTATTCATATTCAATTATACATTGACTCGACGAGCGTGCACTCCGCACTTCCCTAACTCGTTTCCAAGCTTAACGCATAATTGCATCGGCCTTTAGTAAATCACATTACTACTAAAATACATTGGTGATACTAAAATCACCAACAGGATCTCATTATGGATTTTATTGGAAGACTACCAAAATCCAAAGGGAACGACACTATAATGGTGGTGGTAGATAGGCTGTCCAAAGGAACTGATTTCAAGGCCTTGAGTCACCCTTATACAACAAGGACAATAGCTGGGATGTTCATCAATGAAGTGGTGAAATTACACAGGTTTCCGACTTCCATCATCTCTGACCGAGACCGGGTGCTCATGAGTCTTTTTTGGCGTGAGTTGTTCACCTTATCAGGGACCAAACTGAAGTTCAGATCTGTTTATTATCGACTAACGGATGGGCACTAAGCAGAACGTTGGAGACATATTTGAGGTGTTTTGCCAATGAACAGCCAAAACAGTAAAATGGTTAGCATGGGCCAAATTTTGGTTCAACTTGTATTAGAATGCTTCAATTGGCATGAACCCATTTAAGGCAATATATGGGAGGGAGGCACCATGAGTTAGGGGTGTCCGTGGTCCGGTTTGGATCGGTTTTGAGACAAAATATCATCCGATCCAAAAATATATAAAGCATACGGTTTGGTTCGGTTTTTGGATGACAACAAGAAAAATCCAATCCAATCCAATCCAATTTATACGGTTTACTTCGGTTCGGTTGAATCGGTTTTATTCGGTTTTATTCGGTTTTTAAACCAACACTATTTAGAAATTTAAAAAGAATATATTTCAATACCAGTTACAATTATGCCACCAACGTCTACTGAGACAATATCTAATTGCTATGTTCATATGACTATTTGATGTCATTATTGCAAAGTTTCATTATAATATATGTATAATATCTATCCCAACGAAATAGACATGGCTATAATATATAATATATATATATATTGAGATATGCTTAGTTCTTATATGGAGATTTGTATTATAAATTAAATATATGACAAATATATAAAACAGTGAACAAATGAAGATTCCAAAGCTATATTAAAGCGAATATAATAATAAAACTTCAAGAAAAATATCAATAACAGTGGACATGCGAAAGTTGCATCACAAGGAATATATAATAATAATATGACAAACTGTATTATATATAGAGAGAAGATCTGCTTTATATATGACAGCATAATTGATTCGATATTAATTTATTTTAAATAATAAATGGCAAGTAAATGGAAGTAATATCGGTTCGGTTTGGACCGGTTCGGTTCTCATGAAGCCAACCGTAAACCGAACCGAACCGGTCGGTTATGCTACATGGTGATCCAAATACATCCAAAAAAATTCGTTTTTTTTTTATTTCAGTTTTTTCGGTTCGGTTTTTGGATTTTTTTGGATCGGATTGGATCTGAACACCCCTACCATGAGTGATCAAATACCCTCGGAGGGGAAAGAGTTGAAGGGTGGATCAACTCCTAGGGGAACGTGATGTTGTGTTGGAAAACTTAAAGGAGCAGTTGAGCAGAGCACATAATAGCGTGAAACAGTGGGCGGATAAGAAGAGGAGAGAGGTGACCTATGAATTGAAGGATAAGGAGTACTTGAAGGCACAACCTTATAGGTTCAAATCCTTAACTAATAAACCCAATGAGAAGCTGAGTACACGATTTTATGGACCATTTAAAGTTATCGACAAGATTGGCAGTGTAGCATATAAATTGGCATTACCCTCCAATTCTAAAATACACCTGGTGTTCCGTTTATCTCAGCTGAAGAAAGCAGTAGAGAGTGGAATTGCAGTGCAGCGGTTACCAGTGTTTGAATGCAGAATGGGAGCTACAAGTTCAACCAAAGGAAGTGTTGGGAGTAAGGAGACTACTGAATGGAACTGAACAGGTGCTGATTCTGTGGGAGGGACTGCCTGAAGATGAAAACACTTGGGAAATCTCTCAAGTCTTCCCAGAATTTAACCATGAGGACAAGGTAGCACTGGTGGGGGTTAGTGTTGATAGGCCTCTAAAATATGTGTATAGAAGGAAGGGTAGAAAAGAAAAAGAAAGAGAAGAGACGGAAGCATAACTAACTTCTAACTAACTTGACAAGTGGTTAGCCTAACTAACTTCTAACAAACTTGACAAGTGGTTAAGAGGAAATGCAACTAACATGACAGATGGCAGCCTAGGAGTGGTGGGGATTGAGAGAATCATGGAAGAGAATGTGAATATAATAGAATTGAGAAGTGAAAAAGGGGTCAGTTTTATGAAATAGAAATTGGGACCGAGAAGAGAGAGCAATTATCAACTCAGTAGGGGATATTTTCAGTGAGTATCATTCAGTTAGCGTTTACTTTTCTAAAATTGTAGGGAGAATCTTCTCCGTCCACTGTACTGCATTTCCTTCAATTAATACAGTTCCAAAAGGTTTCTCTTCTACGATTTACGGTCACCCATACTAGCTATTTCATCCTAATTCTAGAATTCTTGGTCCTGGTCCTGGTCCTGTTAAAGTACAATAAAAAAGGAAAGAAAATCTCTAATATAAAAAGCTACTAACTTCATTATAAAAAACAGATGACAAAAGGAATAAAAGTTCCATGGGTAATCATTCTATTGTGTTTCATAACAGAAAAATAAACATATTGGAGTACGGCTAATACCATAAATACGACTTTATTTTATATATTTGTTTTTTGTATTCATGATAATCAAATTAAAACAGAAACGGAAAAGCATATAAAATGGGATGAGCTTGTGCAGCCGGAAACAGAAAGAAAGAAAAAAACATATACTAGACAACTGACCTCCCTAATGTCATCAATGGTGTTGGATCGCAGAAGAATATTATCAAGTGTCTTCAAATTCAACTTTAGCAAATCATTAACATTCAAATAACCATCACTCCTCATATTCAATTTCAATTCAGATGCCATATCCTGCAGATATTAAACAAAATTATAATGAGAGAAATTGCTTAGTAAAAGAATTAGGCACAAAACAGTTTTACTTAAGTCATAGCATAGAGTTCATCCGACATCTACTATGTTGCTCCAAAAATCCAGGCCCTTCTTTTCAATGCCTATGCACAATTTGGAGGATAGCGCCGCTTTGCAGTAATGATGGAGAAAGTTGCATAATAAATTTATATACATAAATAGGAAAAGTTTTTGTGCATCAATGAAATAAAACAATTAATAGCATTATAGCAGTATCACATTCCCATGATCAATTTTGCGGAGTAACTGTTCTAATAGTCAATCAATAATTGTAATATTTCACAAGCCACGACACATGAATTTCAAAAAACTCTAAACCAATATATGAAATGACTTATAATATTACCTTCCAAGTAATTATTTTCATGTTGCTACTGAGAAGCATACTTTATACCACCCCGTCAGCAGGCGTCAAACTCAGCAATGTTTGATGAACTCCCTGCACAAAATGTACAACCAAACCATCCAAACCCGTACAATCAAGGTTGAAGAACAAACCCTAGCAATGTTGATGTCAAACACCTATTGAAACTGATAAAATTAAAAGAAACGAGGTTGAAGAACAAACCCTAGCAATGTTGATTTCAAACACCTATTGAAACTGATAAAATTAAAAGAAACAAGGTTGAAGAACAAACCCTAGCAATGTTGATTTCAAACACCTATTGAAACTGAAACAAGGTTGAAGAACAAACCCTAGCAATGTTGATTTCAAACACCTATTGAAACTGAAACAAGGTTGAAGAACAAACCCTAGCAATGTTGATTTCAAACACCTATTGAAACTGATAAAATTAAAAGAAAATTTTCGCATTCGCATTAGAAATTACGGCTTCGTGTTACGGATTGCTTCATCAAAAAAGAGAAGAAAAAAGGCAAAATATGGAGATGCGGGGTATCGATCCCCGTACCTCTCGCATGCTAAGCGAGCGCTCTACCATCTGAGCTACATCCCCTTTTGTTTCTCACTTGAATCAAAGTAATATAATTTAAGTATGAGACTTACGCGAGATCAAAATTGTAGAACTTGCTTCAGTTATGGATCCTTCTTCCTTCCTTCCTTTCATGATTAAAAGTTCTCTATCTGGTGATGAAATACAAACCTTTCAAATATCATAAATTAAGTATGAAGATTCATATAATGAAAAATGTTTTAGAAAGTTTAAAACTTGCAAAAACATAAATTAAATTTTATTTTGAATTTTAAAAATTAAAATCAGGTTTCAAATATTAATCATAAGCATATTTTAATTCAATTATTAAATTTAGAATAATTAAAAAATTATAAACATACGATTGTTCTAGGGACATTGGGATCATGGCCCTAAGTAATTTACTTTGTATTAAAAATGGATGAATATTATTTATAAAGTATTTCTTTTGGATCAAAATGAGTAATGTTTTAAAAATTAGATCGATCATTAAATTGGTGAAGGATATTGGGTTATTGGTTAGTTGGTCGAATTATTGGATTATTTGTTGAATTTCATGACTAAATCAGGTTAAATCAAATAACTCGGTTAAAGAAATTAGTTTGTATAACAAAACTATATATTTATTAAATCAGTCAAATCGGATAACTCAGTCTCTAAAAAAATATTACGACTCCTACAAAATTTTAAAATATCATAATGTCACATGTTCATTCTTTAAACTCAAATTTTAGATATAATAATGTCACACAACAAAATAATACAGAATGCAAATCCAAATAAATTTTGAAGAAGATATAATACAAACAAAAGAAAGTTGTTTCAGACAAGTTTTGAACAAAATATAATTATTTAACTTATTTCTTAAAAAAATATCAAAACGGAGTCATTTTGCTCGAAGAAAATCATGCAATTAACCTATCGATTTTCCAAAACTGTCGATTTACTGATTTTTATCGGGTTTGATCAGTTACGGCCAGTTCTCACTAGTTCAATAGCATACCCAATCCAGTAATCAAACTAGAGCGGTGAACCCTCTGAAGTAGTGAAAAACACAAGAAGGGGGGTTGAATTGTAAAACTGAAAATCAATGCAATGAACAAGATATTTTTATCCTGGTTCGTTTGATCTCAAACTACTCCAGTCCACCCGTCAAGGTGATTTCGCCTCTCTCCAACGAGGTCTTAATCCACTATATTCAACTGAATATTACAGACTGCTTTAACAACTGCTAAAGCCTTCTTGATGCAAACCACAACCCGGTTTGTCAAGGAAACACTTTCTTACAAAGAAGATAAATCTAAGTGTGTGAATGTTTTCTACAAAATTGTATCACAACTGTGATGTATACAAAACTTAAAGCTTAGAAACTAGATTGCTAAACAATGATTGAATAAGAGAATGTGTAGGTTTAGCAAAACTGAGAGAAGGAAGATTTTGATCAGCTTTTATGCGTGTAAAGATTTGGAGAGCATTAGCCAATGAAATCTTCAAAGTCTTGTTTATATAGCACTGAGATGTTGAACGTTGGAGCAATATCCTTGATTCAATGCTATTAACAAACTTTCCTTATCGAGCAGATCTTGTCTGGAATGAGGCCGTTGGTATTAATTTGCTTTCAATGCACAGTACCGTTGCTTACTTAATGCAAGTTCTGGCTTGGCTCATTCTGATTCTACTTAGCTGCTGATGAACTGTTGTGTTTCTTTATCAGAATGTTGAGCGCAGTTCTGTTCATCAGACTTCAGCATATACGTGAGTTAATCTTCTGATTCTGACATTCTGATATGGCAACTTCTGATGCTGATGTCAGGAACCAAATTTCTGATGCTGATTAGGTGTGATCTTGCTTATATCAATCAGAGTATCTGCAAATCAGAACGTAATAATTTAGGCAGCAGATAGTTCATACATGAATCATATAAATAATATATCTTTTCACTTTGTTATCATCAAAACTTAAACATAGGGTAGTAGATTCAAACTTTGTTCTAACAATCTCCCCCTTTTTGATGATGACAAAAACTAGATATTTTTTAAATGAAAATAACGTGAAAAGGTATCAGAGAGATGCATCAGAGTAAGAGGTTAGAAAAAGATATCAGAGTTGAGAGATACTCCCCCTGAGTTTATTACTTCCCTTTGATTACAAGTGTTCTTCAGGATCAGATCTTTTTGCCTTTCTTTGAACATCAGAGTATCAGAGTCTTTGACTATCGAAAGCTTTAGATCAGCACATCAGAGCAGAGCTTCAGATCAGCGTATCAGAGCTTTTTCTTGTCAGAGCTTTGCTTTGGATTAGAGTATCAGAGCGGATCAGAGCTTCATAGCTTTTAGTCTTCAGAGTGTCCAGGAGCTTCCTTGTACCTGTAGACTTTAAGCAAAACAGAAAAACATTTTCAAGTATAATGGAGTTAGAATGTTTGAGAATTTCTGTCTAGTTAGCCGTTATTGTTTAAAATATCATTCTTGTTCTCCCCCTTTTTGTCAGCAATCAAAAAGTGTAGGTGAGTGCTAAAACAATTAAGATCAGAAAAACTTGTCATATTAAAAGGTTCAGAATCAAACAAAACATATTCAAATAGTACATTAGAAAATCATAGAAAACATGAAAAAGACATGAATGAAAAAACTAAGGTTGGGGAGGAAAGCGTGTGAACAGGTTCTCCAGCATGGCTTTGATCTGATCAGCAGTCTCATTCTGCTTGTGCACCATGCTGACAACAGTGTCAATCTTGCTATCCTGCACATCCATTCTTTCTTTCATCTTCTGGTCGTTTTCATCCATCCTCTGCTGCAGACGCATGTCATTCAGCTTCAATTCTTCCAGAGTCTGCCTGTCCAAGGCAGCTTGAGAAGCATCAGAAGCAGGAAGCTTCTGAGAGCTTTCTGCAACATCTTCTGCTTGACTTGCTTCAGCTTGAATGGTCTTGTCTTCTTCTGGTTGCACCTTTGAAGCTAGCTGTTTCTCAGACCAAGGTTCACTATCTAGGGGGAGCACAGCTTCCTGAGGCAGCAGACTGTCAACTTCCTTCAGCAGCTTGCTGAAGTTCTGTTGTGCCTGCTCATAGTTGATATCCTGCAACTTGAGGGCTTCAGCACGTACCCAAAGTCTGAATTGTGACCAGAGCTGATCAGAAGCAGCTGGGTCAATCATTCCAGGACAGACTTGCTTCAAAGAAGCAATCCATTGTTGCACACCTGTTTCAAAATTCATAATACCAGAGCCAACATCTGGTTGTTTTGCTTTAGGGATGGCTATTTTATGTTTCAGATCAGCAAGACGGTCAAGGCTGGTTAAGTCTATGAAGGTCCTGCTGGGGTTTTCGGTGGTTTGCTTGGCAGCTGTTTGTTTTGGAGATGGAGTGGGAGAATCAGAGATTATGATTGGACTGTGTGGTGTTTTGGGAGTATTTGGTGGTGTAGATTCTGGTGAGGATGGCAACTGTGCCAAGGTGATTGTTGTTCCACCTGGCAGCTGGATTGCCAGAGGTGATGGTTGTGGTGAATGAGGTTCATATGGTTGAGGAGAAGGAGTTTCAGAGTGATGAAACTCAGGTTGAGGTGATGGTGGATGACTTTCTGGTTGAGGAGAGGGAGACGGAATTGCTGGTTGAGGAGAAGTTGTTGGAATTTCTGGTTGTTCAGGGATAAGGGGTTCTTCTGGAATTGATGAGAGAGGTTGTTGTTGTTCTGGTTCTTCAGCAGATTGTTGTTGTTCTGGTTGTGGAGGAGGGACAATTTGTGGTTCAGAGTTTGGATTGGCGGAGTGATTAGAAGTGTGTTGATCAATGTCAGACAGCACTTTGTCAATTGCTGATGTTGTTGAGATTGGTTTGGGATGTTTGGTTCTGGGTCTTCTGAGTTTTAATGCCTCAGAAGGGTCATCTTCTGGTTCAGTTTCATCTATTGTTGGGATGGGGATTGAGATTCTATGAGAGGTTGGAGGAGGAATAGATGCTGGAATAGTAGAAGAATTTAAAACAGAAGCAGCAGATAAATTACCTCTTTTCTTGGGTGTCTGCTGGGATGATCCTTCTGAAGGTTCCTTCCTCTTCTTCGTCTTCTTCAGAGTCACTTCTTGTTGAGGTTGATGCAGAGCTTTGATAATCAGATTTGGATTTGTACCATCTGCCTTGCACGCATCTAAGTATCTGAGAACCACCTCTGGTTTAGATTCTATCTCAGAAAATAAAGGAAAGTCACTCAGTGGAACTCTTCTGCTGGTGATATCAGCAATAGGAGTAGCTTTGGTTCCTTTTTGATATTCTCTATCAACTTCATTTTCTTCAAGTTCTTCGCGTTCAGAGGCTTCCCAACTGTTGGTTCAATGGTGCTTAACTCTTGAGCTTCTATCAGATGCTCTATCAGCCTATTCTCTGTCAGAATATCTGATATCAACCTTCCAAAGGGTATCCAATCCCTCTTTGTTCTTTCTTCTTCCCTGGTTTCCTTCACACTTGTTCTGAGGTGGTTGAACAGAAGATGAGCCAAGTTGATTTTTACCTTCTGATCAATAAAGTAGATCAGAAACTGCTGATCCACATTTATGTAATCAGGTGAACTAGTTGGCTTCCTATGGTTGAAGCACCCCAGAATTATCTTAGCCCAAACTCTGTGATGATCCTTCAGATCTTTGATCTTGCTGCTGGGCACCCCATGGGTGAAAATCCTTGCAGCTATCACGCCCACGTCAGCACATCTCTCAGCCATATCAACACAGCGGACGCCACCGCCACTGTAACCGATTAACCTTGCTATGTGATCCTCAGTGATCACAATCTTCTTCCCCATAACGAAGGAGGTGACTAGATGCGTTGAAGCCTTCGCATGAATCCAGAATTCCTTGACTAACATAGGGAATGTTGGTCCAACCAACCTGTCAAAATACCTTTCCCATTTATGTGCCCTAACTTCTTCTGTTAGGTCAAAACCGTTCTCCTTCAAGCTTCCAAAATCAATGATCAATTCAGATAACACTTCAAGATTCTTCACAGGAGTGAGGAGTG